AGCTTACACCAGTACTACTCAAACTATTTCAGAACATAGAAAGGAAGAGATACTTCGTAATTCATTTTATGAAGCCAGCAAAACCCTGTTAGCAAAACCAGGCAAAGACCCCATAAAAAAAGAAAATTACAGACCAATCTCTTTCATGAATACAGATGTAAAAATTCTCAACAAAATTCTAGCCAACAGAATTCAGTATATCAAAAAAAATAACATACCACAACCAAGTAGGATTCATAACTGCTATTCAAGGATGGTTCAACATTAGAAAATCAATCAACGTAATCTACCACATAAATAAAAGTCACACGATCACCTCAACTGATGCAGAAAAAGCATTCGACAAAGTCCAACACCCATTCCTGATAAAAACTCTTAATAAAAAAAAAAAGATATAGAAGGGAAATTCCTCAACATAATAATAAGGCAACTATACAAAACCAACAGTCAACATCATTCTTAATGCAGAGAGGCTGAAAACTTTCCCCTTGAGAATAGGAACAAGACAATGATGCCCTTTGTCACCACTGGTATTTAACATTGTGCTGGAAGTCCCAGCTGGAGCAGTAAGGCAAGAAAAAGAAAAAAAGTGCATCCAAATTGGTAATGAAGAAGTAAAACTGTCCCTATTTGCAGATGATATGATACTATATACACAAAACCCAGAAGACTCCAGGAGAAAACTACTGGAACTAACACAAAGATTCAGCAGAGTAGCAGGATACAAGATAAACATACAAAAATCCGTGGATTCCTACACACCAATAAAGAGAACGACGAAAAGGAAATCAGGAAAACAATACCATTTATAACAGCCCCCCAAAAAATAATAAAACTTAGGAATAATTCTAACCAGGGATGTAAAAGATCTATACAAAGAAAACTACAAAACACTACTGCCAAGAACCCAAAAGAGATCTACGTAAATGGAAAAACATACCATGCTCGTGGTTAGGTAGACTCAACACTGAGAAAACGGCAATTCTACCCAAAGCAATCTACAAATACAATGCAATCCCAATCCAAATACCAACAACATTCTTTAAAGACAGGGAAAAAACAATCATTAACTTTATATGGAAAGGGAAGAGGCCCTGGATAAGTAAAGCATTATTGAAAAAGAAGAATAAAGTAGGAGGACTCAAACTACCTGACCTCAGAACCTACTATACAACTACGGTAGTCAAAACAGCCTGGTACTGGTACAAGGACAGATATATTGACCAACAGAACAGAACTGAGAACCTAGATATAAATCCATCCACCTCCAGTCACCTGATCTTCGATAAGGGCCCGAAGTCCATCAAATGGGGGAAAAGACAGTCTTTTTAACAAACAGTGCTGGCAAAACTGTATGTCCATCTCGAAAATATGAAATGGGACCCACACGTCACGCCATACACAAAAACGAATTCAAAATGGTTAGATTTATTCCTAAGTATTTCGTTTTTTAAGGTGCTATTATAAATGATATTGTCTTCCTAAATATAAAACCAAAAACTATAAAGATCAAAATAGGATCAATGCTAGAGGCCCTAATTCACAGCATTAACAGTATACAAACCATAACCAACAACACACAAACACCAGAAGATAAGCTAGGTAACTGGGATCTTCTAAAACTTACACACTTATGCTCATCAAAAGACTTCACCAAAAGAGTAAAAAGAGCATCTACGGACTGGGAAAAAAATTTTGGCTATTACAAATCCAACAAAGGTCTAATTTCTAAAATCAACAGGAAAATCCAACACCTCTACAACAAAAAGACAAAAAATCCAATTAAAAAATGGGCAAAGGAAAGGAACAGACAGTTCACCAAAGAAGACATTCAAGTGGCTAACAGACACATGAGGAAATGCTTGTGGATCACTAGCCATTAGAGAAATGCAAAT